TTGGGAAAACTGGACAGCAACAAGCAAAAGAATGAAACTAGACCACTTTCTTACACCATACACAAAAATAAACTAAAAATGGATTAAGGACCTAAATGTGAAACCTGAAACTATAAAAATCCTAGAAGAGATCATAGGCAGTAATTTCTCTGACATTGGCCATAACAACATCTTTCTAAATATGTCTCTTGAGAAAGGGGAAACAAAAACAAAAATAAACTACTGGGACTATATCAAAATAACAGGCTTCTGCACTGAAAAGGAAACAACCAATAAAACTAAGAGATAACCTACTGAACGGGAGAAGATATTTGCAAATGACATATCCAACAAAAGGTTAGTATCCAAAATATAGAAAGAAATTATACAACTCAACAACAAAAAAACAAAAATTCCAATTAAAAATTGGACAGAAGACATGAACAGACATTTCTCCAAAGAAGACATTCAGATGGCCAACAGACACATTAAAAGATGCTCAATAACACTCATCATCAGGGAAATGGAAATCAAAACCACAGTGAGATAACACCTCACACCTGTCAGAATGGCTAAAATCAAAAACTCAAGAAACAACAAGTTTTGGCAAGGATGTGGAGAAAAAGGAACCTTCTTACACTGTTGGTGGGAATGCAATCAGTGCAGCCACTCTGGAGGACAGTATGGAGATTCCTCAAAAAATTAAAAAATAGAACTACCATATGATCCAGTAATTGCACTACTAGGTATTTACCTAAAGAATACAAAACACTAATTCAAAGGGATACATGCACCCTTATGTTTATTGCAGCTTTATTTATAATAGCCAAACTATGGAAGCAGCCCAAGTGCCCACTGATAGATGAATGGATAAAGAAGAGGTGGTGTGTGTGTGTGTGTGTATATATATATATATATGTAAAATATAGGAATATTATTCAGCCATTAAAAAAGAATGAAATCTTACTAGTTGCAGTGACATGGATAGAGCTAGACAGTGTAATGTTAAGTGAAATAAACCAGTCAGAGAAAGACAAATACCATATGATTTCGTTCATATGTGGAATTTAAGGGAAAAAGTAATGAACAAAGGAAAAAAGAGACAAACCAGAAACAGACTCTTAACTACAGAGAACAAACAAACAGTTACCAGAGGGAAGGTGGCTGGGGGGATGGGTGATAGGTGATGGGGATTAAGAGTACACTTATCTGATGAGCACTGAGTAATATATGGACATGTACCTGAAACTAATGTAACAGGGTATGTTAACTACACTGAATTTTTTTAAAACGTAGTCTTCCTGTTGTCAGCTCAATGATCTTTCTTCTTACATTATAGGAACTCAATTTAACATTTTATAACACTTTTGGTAGACCATGATCATGAACAATTACACAATTAATTGTAAGTCAGGACTTTTAGAATTATTGCTAACTACATGTGACTTTATATGTGACTCCAGGAAACCAGGTAATAATTTTTACTTAAATTTCCTAAGCTCAGAAGGAAATGAAAAAACTGTTTTAGATAATGTCCAAAAATCTTTCTTAAATTAATAAAATATAACTGTATTATTTTACCAATACTTTTCTATGTTTTGGTTATTAGCTTAGCTAAATCAAGCATACAAAATATAAAGAAATGGAGAAGATGCTTGGGTGGGGACGAGCAGGCCCTATGAGGGGTTAGGAAACACATACTGTAGATTTATTATGTGTCTCAAACTATGTATTGTTCATCAGGTTATTCTAAATAAAACAAACCTAAAGAGACCTTTCTCTTGCAGCATGCCTTGTAAAAAGTAGTAAATAAAAAATTATTTGGTTATTTGCACTGGATTGATGTATTAGAAAAGGTTACAGGAGATAAGGCAGTAAAAAAACTTGAAGGAAGAGGTAAGTGAAACACATTGAAGAAAGGAGCAGGAAGATCAGTAATAGAAATTGCAACAGCTGGGGCCTGAAAGAATACATTTAGAAGGTGCTAATGATTATGATTCTCATGAAAAGCAATTAAAACTATTCTCCAAACTTCATTGATTCAAGTAGATTCTTGATATTTTTCACTAAACAACCTATATTAACATTTTACCTACTTGTCCTTAAATACTTATTTTTTCAATGACAAAAATATTTTTTGAACACTTGCTTTATTTCAGGTGCTATTCTCAGATTTTAGGATGCATCAGTGTAAAACAAAACTCTCTGTCCTTTAGAGCCTATATTTTATGGAGGAAGGCAGATAACATAAAAGAAAGTAAGTAAATAATAGAGTATATTAGACTATAATAAGACTTATGAAAATATATGGAAGGTAAGGGAGATTAAGAATATACAAAAAGGAGGAGCACCTGGGTGCCTCGGTCAGTTGGGTGACTGACTCTTGATTTAGGCTCGGGTCATTACCTCAGGGTTGTAAGATTGAGCCCTGCATCGGGCTCCACACTCATTGGGAAGTCTGCTTGAGATTCTCTGTCTCCCTCTGCCCCCACCCCCTCTCTCTCTAAAATAAATAAATAAATAAATCTTAAAAAAAAAAGAATATACAAAAAGGTGGGTTGGTAATTTTAAATATGGCAGTCAGAGTCAGCCTCGTTAAGAAAATGATGTATGTGCAGAGATTTTTATAAGAAGCGCAAGAGTAGGTCCTGCAATATGTAGGGTAAGAATCATCCAGGTAAAGAGAACAGAAAACTCAAATGCCCTGAGGTGGAAGCATGCCAGTTATTATGAAACAAGAGAGAAACCAGTGTCCTAAATGGAACGAGTGAAGAGGAGAAAAGTAGATTAGGTCAAAGGAGTAAAGTGGCCCACCGACAATTGAAAAGGTCTTTTCTTTTTCATTTCAATTTATTTATATTTAGTTTTACTCTGAGGTACATGGGAAGTCTAGGGGATTTTGAGTAGAGGGCTGACATGATTTGTTTTAAATTTAAAAGAATCACTCCGCTATGTTTGAAAAAGGAGCTTAGAAGGACAAAGGCAGACATAGGGAGATTACTTTGAAAATTACCACAATAACTCAGGCCAGAGAAGATGGTGGTCCTCCCGTAGGTAAGTGTTTCCTCCAGTAGGTAAGTGTTTCCTTTAGCAGGTAAGTGTTTCCTCTAGCATGATCATTACTCATCTTGAATTTACCCTTTAGATAGAAGTTCAGGGGTGCTCAGTTGGTTGAGTGGCTGCCTTCAGCTCAGGTCATTGTCCCCGGGTCCTGGGATTGAGCCCCTCCTCGGGCTCCCTGCTCCGCGGGAAGCCTGCTTCTCCCTCTCCCACTCCCCCTGCTTATGTTCTCTCTCTCCCTGTCTCTCTCTCTCATTCTCTCTGTCAATTAAATAAATAAAAAAAAAAAATCTTAAAAAAAAAAGTTCAGCTAGTAGCTATTTTCCCTTTTCTGTCTCTTAGAAAAATGGATGTTTCCTGTTCATTCCCACATACATGCCCATGTAAACTGTGGTATAAACATGTATTAACAAGTCAGGTATAGTATGCTTGGACAATCTAGAGCATCTTACTTTGTATCATCATTTTGTTATAGTCACACTTTTATCTTTAAATCATAAATATTTAAACAATAAATATTGTTGTCTGCTCTAAGTACATTCTGCATCCAGAATTATTTTTGATTTTATGACTTCTCAAATCATCCACTCCATCCTCAGGACCCAGGAGGAATTGATCAAACCAAAAACAAAATTAAAAGACATGGTACTCTTCAAAATCTCACCTTGTGCCTTAATTTAACTCTCAAATTATCTTTGCCCTTTTCACATGTCTTTTCATATAGTGACAATTCAAGTTTGTATATTAAAAGGCATTAAGAAACTTCACCAAAAATTTCTATATCTTCTTCTTTTCAATTTTTAAATACTTAAGATCCCGAATTTATTCTTCAACATAAAATTACTACTATACTACCTCTTCCTAAGAGCCAAGTTCATCATCATTTTCTTATGGAGAGAGGGCATATTGTGATAATGTTTACTACACACAGCATTTGGAGGCCAAAGTTTCTTTGATTATCATTTTTTTATTACAGTGAAATTCACATAACATAAAATTAACCATTTTAAAGTGAAAAATCCAGTGAACTTGATGCAGTTTCTGTTCACATGGTAATAACAATGGAAATAAAAACACCACCAAGGGGAAAATTTAAGAGAAAATAAGAAAGAGACAGATCATCATATAAGGAAACATGTTCCAATAATACCTTTTAATTGTAATTATTGAAAAATTGCTAAAAACTGCAAATGGTAATCATAAAAAATAGTAAGACATGTTTTGCCTTTCAGAATGTTAATACCTCAGTGATAAGATTTTTTTTTTTTAAGATTTTATTTATTTAGAGAGAGAGCACGCATGCAAGCAGGTGGGGGGGGCAGAGAGGGAGAGAGAGAATCTCAAGCAGACTCCACGCTGACCATGGAGCCTGACACGGGGCTCAATCTCAGGATCCTGAGATCACCACCCCAGCCGAAATCAAGAGTTGGATGTTCAACCAACTGAGCCACCCAGGCCCCTGGAGTGTTTGTTTGTTTGTTTGTTTTTTCTTTTTCTATATTCATTACCAGATCTTTTTTGATTGATAATATTTACAATGGACAACACTTTCTTATAAGAGCAGTTACCATACTATTTCACATTATACAAGATCCTATTAGTCAGAGATGTGGCAGACATATTCTCTGGGCTATTTAACTGAGGGGAAAAAAAGAGATGGAGTTGCTGCTTTTTCATGATGTTTTTTGATCATAACCATATTGATGAACAAAATAATAAAATAGCTCTGATTGTAGTGAAGATTTTTTTTCCCTCATTTTGCTATTCAGAAATACATTTTGCCTTCCACCTGTGTCTGATACACTATAAGACATGGAGGAACGTATCATGGAAACACATCATGTGTACTCCAGGGGCATTTTTTAAGGACAAAAAGCAACTCTAATAGACCCAGAAATAAAGATCTTCTTGAAACACCAAAGATTTATGGCTAATTCCATGTTAATATTAGGTCAGTCAGTGGTAGAATGAAGATTTAAGTTCAGCTGACTTGACTCCATTTCTAGGGCTCTATTAACTAGAACCTAATACTGGTCTGCCATCTAAGTTGGTAAGTTCAGAATCATAGCTTCTCCATTCTCATCTAAGATTAAAGTTGGCTGAGCTCTCTTGATATTTTCAGCAGTTATTTTGACCTCAAATATCTCTCTTTTGTGTTTTGTTTTCTGCCCTTCTTATTATTTTACATACTTCTGTCTGCTCTTCCACACTGACACCCCCCATCATTTTATTGACAACTTCTTCTCACAAATACTGTATGAGGGCGCACTACAAAGTTGGTCATAAATTATTGACAGGTGAATCCACACACAACTGTGAGATGAGTTTTCTTGGGTTTCTGTGCTTCTGATTTGAAACCTGTTAAAATAAATGAGGCAATTAAAACAAATGTAAGAAATACTGTCTACTCTCTACAGAATGCTGAAATAAATTAGCGAGGATATGGGTAAGGATATTGGTGAAAAGAGTTCCTAAGTGGTTACGTTACTGGGAAAGGAAACTTGAATTTAGATTGCATTAGTTCTCAAATGGTAACAGAAGAGCATTCATTATTAAGGTATAAAAACAACTCAAAAATTTTTTAAGAAAAATACTATTAGTCACATAAAACTAAATAAAGCTCCTGACAAATAAGAAAAATCATATAGTATTCTATAGACAGTTCTTTATTTATCTTTCAACCTCTTACCTAGAAGTATATTTATCAAATAAAACAACAGACTAGTGAAACCAAGCAGAAGAGTTATTATTGAGAAGTATCTAGAACTAAATGAAGAATCATAGGTGCACCTGGGAGGCTCAGTCAGTTAAGCATCTGCCTTCAGCACAGGTCATGATCCCAGCATCCTGGGATTGAGTCCCACATCAGGCTCCCTGTTCAGTGGGGAGTCTGCTTCTCCCTCTCCCCCTCCCCACTGCGTGTGATCTCTCTCTCTCATGCTCTCTTTCTCTCAAATAATAAATAAAATCTTAAAAAAATAAATGAAGAATCATAGATATCAAGGCCATTTAAAGGTGGGGAAAATAGCATTATATACTTTAATGCATTCTGAAGACAGAATTATATTACAATACAGTGATAGACAATTATGATAATTATCATGGGTAAGTGGGAGTACTACTCTGTTCTATTGCTCTTCAGTCTCCTGAAGGAGCAGTGTTAATTAGTCGAGCTTAAAAGGTAACACTGGCGGGCGCCTGGGTGGCTCAGTTGGTTAAGCGTCTGCCTTCGGCTCAGGTCATGATCCTGGGCTCCCGGGATCGAGTCCTGCATCGGGTTCCCTGCTCAGCAGGGAGTCTGCTTCTCCTTCTGACCCTCTTCCCTTTCGTGCTCTCTATCTCAAATAAAAGGTAACACTGCAGCACCTGGGTGGCTCAGTCGGTTAAGCGTCTACCTTCAGCTCAGGTCATGATCCCAGGGTCCTGAGATCGAGCCCCACATCGGGCTCCCTGCTTAGCAGGGAGCCTGCTTCTCCCTTTCCTCTCTGCTTGTGCTCTCTTTCACTATCTCTGTCTCTCTCTCTCAAATAAATAAATAAAATCTTTAAAAAAATAAATAAAAGGCAACACTGAGCTTCACTGTAAAAGCTGTGAACTGATGCTCTTCATCCTGTGTATCTAGCTCTTCTTGACCCTGGGGCTGGAGGATTGAGACAATTCTTTTGTAGAAATGACTAGGCTAAAAGCATGAAACAACTTTGATTCAGGCCTCAGGGAGAATTCTGACTGGTGTTCTCCAAAAGTTTTCCTTGACGTCCAAGAGTTTTTTTTGGGTATGGACAGAGCTACATTAAGTTACTGCCATCCAGGAAACCAAGGCATAGTAACATATCAAAGTGATAATTTGGGCCCACTCGTGATTTTTAGAATCCACTAGTCATATGTTTAAATAGCAAAAGAAAACTCAAGACGAACAAGTACTATAAAAAAAGTAGGACATATATTTTGTCAAGATTGTTAACAAATTCACTGTGCTTAGGCCGGTGGAAGTGAAATAGTTAAGTGGTGTTAAAATCAAAATGTGATCATACTCAGCAGTTTGTACTATTTACACCCAAATAATGCCTACCAGAAGCAAATTAAAAGCCACTCTGTAAATTTCAAATTAATTCTACAAACATTTAAGATATAATGTTGAGCACACTATCAAAAATAATCAGGCACGGGGTAACTGGGTGGCTCAGTCGTTAAGCATCTGCCTTCAGCTCAGGTCATGGTCCCAGGGTCCTGGGATCGAGCCCCGCATCAGGCTCCCTGCTCAGCGGGAAGCCTTCTTCTCCCTCTCCCACTCCCCCTGCTTGTGTTCTCTCTGTCAAATAAATAAATAAAATCTTAAAAAAAAAATCAGGCATAAAAATCAAATAATCCAATTAAAAAATGGGAAGAAGACATGAACAGATATTTCTCCAAAGAAGACATCCAAATGGCCAACAGACACATGAAAAGATGCTCAATAACACTCATCATCAGAGAAATGCAAATCAAAACCACAGTGAGATATCACCTCACACCTGTCAGAATGGCCAAAATCAAAAACTTAGGAAACAAGTGTTGAAGATGTGGAGAAAAAGGAAACTTCTTACACTGTTGGTGGGAATGCAACTGGTGCAGCCACTCTGGAAAATGGTATGGAGTTCCTCAAAAAATTAAAACTAGAATTACCCTAGGATCCAGGAATCACACTACTGGGTATTTACTTAAAGAATATGAAAGCACTAATTCAAAGGGATACATGCACCTCTATGTTTACAGCAGTTTTGCTTACAGTAGCCAAATTATGGAAGCAGCCTAAGTGGCCAACGATAGATGAATGGATAAAGAAGAGGGGCTATATATACATACATATATATATATATATATATATATATATATATATATATATAAAATACACACACACAATGGAATATTATTCAGCCATAAAAAAGAATGAAATCTTGCCATTTGAAATGACATGGATAGAGCTAGAGAGTATAATGCTAAGTGAAATAAGCCAGTCAGAGAAAGACAAATACCATATGATTTCACTCATATGTGATATTTAAGGGGAAAAAAACAAATGAACAAAGGGAAAAAGGGACAAACCAAAAACAGACTCTGAATTATAGAACACAAACAGGTTACTAGAGAGAATGTGGGTTGTGAAATGGGTGAAATAGGTGATGGGGATTAAAGAGTATACTTTATCATGGGAAGCATTGAGTAATGCATAGAATTAATGAATCACAATATTGAACACCTAAATAACACTATATGTTAATTATACTGGAAGTAAAATTTTTAAAAATTAATAACAAAATAATCAGACATATAAGAAAAATCAACATGAATGAAAAATAGGAGAGAAACATAATAGAAACAGACATACATGAGTATAAGACGTTGGAATTATCAAATACAAATGTTAAAGCAACTATATTCTAGGAGTTAAAAGATAAATTTGAGAAGATTGGAAGAAAGCTAGGAATTATAAATAGTGACAGAGTAGATTTGACAAAGAACCAAGTTGAAGTTATAGAACTGAAAAATTCACTAAACAAAATTAAAAACTTTTAACACCAGCTTAACCACAGATGAGAAAAAAAATTGAAAAATGAAAAATATATGAGAACTAAATATATAAAGAAAAAAGGATGAAGGATTAAGCAAACAAGACATACAGAATGCTGTAAATGGGTCTATAATGTATATAACTGGAATCCCAGAGGAAGGGAAGAAAATAGGGTGGAAGCAACATTTGAAGCAAGTAGGCTGAGAATTTTCCAAAGCTGAAAAAAGGCACCAGGTTTAAAACATATATTACCTTCAAAGAGCTGACCTTTCAAAAACAATAATAAAAAAGTAGGAAAACATTATAACAGTATCTTTGACCGGCTGAGAGAAACAAACTACACATTTCCAATTTTATAATCAAAAAAAATATTTCTTTAGAAAAGTTGAAATAAAAACAGTTTTAGACACAGAGAAATAAACTCTAAAATTTCTACTCTAAAGGGAATAGTAGAGAGTATTCTTCAGGTTTAAGGAAAACGGTTGAAATGGAAGGTAGGAGACAGAAATAAATAGGAAGCAATGCAAACCATAAATACATGGAAAAATCTAGATGAACTGTGTATAAATCTATACATCTACTGTTTTCTAGGGCTATATTTTTTACTGAATCTGAGATGCCATCAATTGTTAAGAGACCATTTATTTAACTAATACTGTGAAATAAATTCATCCAAGATGGGAATTTAGAAGAAAACCCTGCAGAACAAAGGATTATTCTGGTGTAGGAGTAAATGAAAACAAACTACAACCAGAAAAGAGTAACAGTGAGACGTGCCTGTCTCAATCTCGCCACCAAGTGGAAGATGGGAGAAAAAAATTACATCCCCTGAGAAGTTGAACCACTAGCTCATACGTACACAGATCTTCTAATTGAATCCATAATACCAGTGCATTTAAATAACAAAACAAAACAAAACAAAAAAACAAGCAGAGTGTTCAAGTAATCTCAGGTTTGTGGTACCTCTCTTTGACTGGCAGAAGCAAACACTAAACCTTTTTTTTTTTAAGATTTTATTTATTTATTTGAGAGAGAAGAGAATGAGAGATAGAAAGCACGAAAGGGAAGAGGGTCAGAGGGAGAAGCAGACTCCCTGCTGAGCAGGAAGCCCGATGTGGGACTCGATCCTGGGACTCCGGGATCATGACCTGAGCCGAAGGCAGACGCTTAACCAACTGAGCCACCCAGGCGCCCAACACTAAGCCTTCTTGACAGGGCTCAACTTGAGTTCAGACCTACAGTGATTATAAAAGGCCTGCAGTTGTAAGACAGGTGCCATTTGTAGAGATTTAAAATGTGGGGAAAGATGTGAGAGCCTTAAAGTATACAAAAATAATAGCATATAAATTGGGGAGGGAATACACAGAGTAAAGAAATATTCTAATATATTTTTATATTGCCCAGGAAGAACACTATAAAACAATTAATATTAGACTTTGATGAGTGAAGAATGTGTGTTGTAATCTTTAGAGCAACTATGAAAAAATTAGTAAGAGTAAATTCTAAATTAATATAAGAAAAAATGGAGTCATAAAATTATTTAAACAGTTCAAAAAGAGGAAAGACAGAAAAGAAAAAGTACTTTGAATGGGCTGTGCACCTGTACAGTATAAAAATTCTAAATCTATATGTGCCTAATAATACATCATCAGCACATCAAACTAGTTACAGAATTTTAAGTAGAATCGCAGTAGGAGATTTTAATATACTTCGGAAACTTTGCCTTTTCCTGTCTCACTTTGTGAGCTGAGACATCTCAGTGTAGCTCATCTTCTTTCTACCTGACCCCTGGGTTTCACACCATTAGCTCCCCTCGTTCCCAGCCCTTCATACTTGAAGGGAATTTATAGCCCCAGGCTTTCCTGGGTCACCAGCTTGTAGATGGCAGATTGTGGGCCTTAGCTTCCATACACATGGGAGCCAATTCCTCATAATAAATCTCCATGTAGCAATTACTCCTCATTGTGTGTGGATCAGTCAGAGTTCTTCAGAACCAATAGGAGATCTATATAGATCTTCTTCTCTGAAGAACCCTAGCTGATCCACATACAATAAGGGAGAATTTATGATGAAAATGGAAGTATGTTTAAAAGAACTTTATAAAGTGTGAAATGTGGTTACTTTCAAAATTAATAATAGCATGTGTCACATATTTACTAGGTACAGGACACAATGCTAAGTGATTTGACTTTTATCTTCTTTATCTTAAAATCCTAACAGACAGGTATTATTTTTATTCTCATTTACAGATGAGGAAAGAGGGAGGGGTTCAGGTAGGTCAAGCAGCTTAACCAATTTCACACAGTGAGTGAGCCAATCATTTTCTCAACCTGAGAAGTGACTCCAAAGCCCATGCTCTTCACCACAGTTTTATGCTAACAGTGATGGGTCCTAACTGGACTACTTCAAACAGGTGCCAGATGCCCTCCTTGTAAGAAAGCTGAGGAACATTTGTGTTGACAGCACTAGATGACCACTCAACGTGTTGTGACTGTAAAATTCTCCTCTACCCTCTTTTCTTTTTTTCCTGATTCATTCTTTTTCTCTCTTCATCACCATTTCCCTTTCTCTCATTCTCATAAACGACCCACAAATCAGATTCTTAACTGCTTGACATGCTCTTGTCTTTCTGAGAAAGGGTGTGAAGTTTTGTCTTTCCAGATACTTACAAGTTAGAAGAGAACATTGAGCCGTCCTCCCAGAGCCATGGTCCTTCAGTCTGATGGCGAGAAAGTCCTATCCAGAATGAATTATCAGGTTGAGAAGACATTTGCCTTACTATAAAATCCTGTAGGAAAGCATAAATACAAATACATGTCAAAGAGTCACTGAGAGAATGAGACAGACAAAGATGATAGAGATAAAAAGATGGAGAGAGACTCTTACAGACACTGAGAAAGAGACAACAGATTGAGTCACCTTGGTGAAGAATGCATGCAAACCCTGGCATCAACCTAGAGAGAACTGTCAATTATTAAATGCCACTGAGTGCCTCAAAAAGTATATTTCACTTCTTCAGAGTCATTATTGTTTAATTTTCCAATAAAGAATAGACCCATAATGTCAAAATTATAATGCCTCCATGCAACCTGCCTGACAAGATCCAAGAATGACAGAGCTCCCCAGGCAATTTTCATGGACAACAGGCCACTATCTTCTCAAATCAAATATATGAATTTGTCACATTTTTGTCAAGAAATCCTTTGCAGAGTTAGATAAAAATATAAAAATAATATAGTTCCACTGCATGTTCTATGAATAAGTAATTTGAGGTTTAATGATGACATTTGACAAACGACAGGAACATTGAAAAGCCAGACAGACTTCCAGTGTCATTCCCTTTCTCTGCCACAATCTACTTCCATTCATTTTCATGCGAACCACAACTGTCAGGTATTGCAGGACAGAAACACAAAAGTTGAAAGGAAGTGAAAGTAAATGTAGGAGTTACAGATTGTTTAGATTTATAGTGTAGAGTGTTTCCTGACTATTATTAATCCCTTCTTATAGCCCAACCGAGTTCTACAGCCCTTCACTCACAATGCATTATAACTTCCACTTTTCTGTAAAACTTTATATATCCAGGGATCTCTGTCTGAATTCCTATGTCACTGAGTGCCAATACCAGATATTTAACTTTTAGCAGCTGTTGAGTTGTTTCTTTCTTCTTACAAACTATATAAGCATTGAAATAGCAAGGTTACTTTTTAAACCTCTTTGCCTTTCCCGGTATCTTGCAAGGACTAAATGACTTATAAATGTATATTATCATTGCTGCTATTTTCCTTGATAATGACGACAAGGGGGAGAATTTTCTATTTTACTCCACCAAATTTAAGAATTGAAATCCAAATGCACAAAACTGAGTAGTGACCTGATTGTTATTGTCATGCAAACTTGGAGTGTGTTTGAATAGATTCGTTTTAACGTAAAACACACTGGGGCCCCTGGGTGGTGCAGTTAGTTAAGCATCCGACTCTTGGTTTTGGCTCAGGTCTAGATCTCAGGGTCATGAGATCGAGACCTGGATCAGGCTCTACACTCAGTGCAGAGTCTTCTTGAGATTCTCTCTCTCCCTTTGACCCTCTCCCCGCCTCAAGCACACACACTCTCTCTCTAAAATAAAATAAATAAAATCTTTAAAAAAATAAAGTGAAAATATTTATTTTTGAAATTAATTAAAAAAACTATATTTTACCCACTTAATACATGCTGTTATTATAATTATGGAGGATATTAAATGTGACTTTCTCTTAGGGAAAATATATTTTTTTAAGATTTTATTTATTTATTTGCGAGAGAGAGTGCTAGAGAGAGAGCGTGAGCAGGGGGGAGGGGCAGAGGGAGAGGGATAACTCCTCGCTGAGTAGGGAGCCCGATGTGGGGCTCCATCCCAGGACCCTGGGATCATGACCTGAACCGAAGGCAGACACTTAACCGACTGAGCTACCCAGGTGCCCTCTTTTAGGGAAAATTATCATTACCTGGACTCTACCTCTAGTTTTCTGCTCAATATAGACTACAGATAATTATAACTGAAGTCTACACTTACCAGTTCTTCTGCACTGTCTATCTTCAGGAGGTTAGAATGCAGTTGAGAGCACTGTCTTTTACTTCTATTCCAGGAAGCTAACGATGTGCTAAGTAGATAACAGTTGTTTTTATGTATGATCCAATTAGGAGGACAAGAGCTAGAAAAAGCTCCTGGAAATAAAAAGTAAATACAATGAGGTTCATAATATACCAATTTGCTCTTTCAGTGCAAGCATCATTCATCCCAAGGATACTTAATAATTAATGAATTGCCAGTAATATATTCCATTTTCAGTTCAAATTATAGGTATACGATTTTTACAGAAGAGACCACATTGAAACCCCCTCATTCATTTAAAACTTAAAAATGAATTAACTATAAACAGTGTTTTAGACAGTCAACCCTCCTTTCCTTCTTGACCTGTCTTCCATTCTCTCACCTTCAGTCTGTTACTCCCTTTCTTCATGATAATTTTTAAAATAAATCAACTCAAAATCAATCTTCAAGATATACAGTAATTTCATGTTAACTTATTTTAGAGTTGTGAGATCCATTTAAGAATGCAACTTTCCAAATGAGAAACGTGTAAGAGCAATTATTCACGTTATAGAGTATCTCTACTTTCTATTTTTAGCTATTTGATACAAACAGTGAGAAGGTATGGGTCCAGAGACGGAAAATTGAAGTCAAAATATTGTCATAGTCAATTATGATACAATTAGAAATAAAGGTCAAGTGTGTATAAAATTGTAATGAAATTGTATGATTAAAGAAAAACAAATATAACCAGAGTTTTCAGGAACGTATCTATTCTATTAGGTCTATGTCTCTTGTATATGTTTAATTCACATACAATTCTTATTCTAAGCACATTTTCCCTTCTTTCCTTTTCTCTCTCTTTCTTCCTTTCTGACATCCAATTTCCTATTCTATCTCTGTTACTTTAAAATGTCAATTCTTAAGGGGGAGAGAACACATTTCTTTCCTTTGCATCAAATTATACAATCTCCTATAGGTCTAAATATGTAGAGAGTGATAAATTCGTCACTAATTTGAAAAAAAAATATCCAACTTAGAAATCATTGGCCAAATGCATGGGATATTTATATCACTTTATTACATATATGACAGGGATATACTATACTGAGATAATACTGATGTGTGCTTTCCTTGGACGCACAATCCTTGCATGTAAAAATACTGTCTTTACCAACCCTACTCCAGGACTTAGCCACAGTAATTAACTTTCCTGTATCAAGGATTCCATTTATCTTTTAACCCTGCCCTTGCCTGTGGTTGTGAGAGCCTTGGTAGGAGCCACATGGTCTTCTAAAGATGATTGTGTGGGTTGACTGTGGTTCTCTTTATTTCTTGATGGGAAGTTGTCATTCTTCAATGGGTTGCTCCCTGAATTGGATCTCCAAATAGCTTCATATACCAACAACAATTACAGTGACAGAAAAAAAAAAGTCATTCTACTGTATTTGAAATTATAAGTCCAAAATCCATATTTTTGTTGGAATACAAAGGGATATATTTTTGATTAATGATAAATAGATAACACATTGCTGATTGAGAGGTAAAAGTAGTTGAAAGATAGATGATAGATAGATAGATAGATATAGATGATAGATGATATATGATAGATAAATAAATGGAAAGAAAACATTACTTCCATGAAGGTGTAGGAAAAAGGAGAAAAACAAAGCAGATAGAGGAGTGTGAAAGAGAAAACGAGAGGCACATGAAATACCATCAATTGGAGCATGATAGATTTGAAATAGTAATAAATCTTTTATCTTTCTTCTGTTATTTAAAAATGAGAGCTCCTTGGGTCGCCTGGGTGGCTCAGTTGTTAAGCAACTGCCTTCGGCTCAGGTCATGATCCTGGGGTCCTGGGATCGAGTCCCACATCGGGCTCCCTGCTCCACAGGAGGCCTGCTTCTCCCTTTCCCTCTCCCACTCCCCCTGCTTGTGTTCCCTCCCTCGCTGTGTCTCTCTCTGTCAAATAAATAAATAAAATATTTAAAAAACAATAAAATAAAACCAGCTATTCAAGGAAGATACTAGAGCAATATAGTTAAGAGTATGCATTTTTTTAGGGGTGCCTGAGTGGCTCAGTCAGTTAAGCCTCTGACTCTTGATTTCAGCTCAGGTTATGATCTCGGAGTCATCAGATGGAGCCCCGTGTCCGGCTCAGTGCTGAGTGTGGAGCCTGCTTGAGAATCTCTTTCCCTCTATCCCTCCCGCACTTGTACTGGCTCTCTCTCCCTCTCTAAAACAAAAAAGAAAGAAAAAAAAGAGTATGCGTTTTTTTCAGTCAGATTGCCTAAATTTCTTTTTTTTTTTTTTTTTAAAGATTTTATTTATTTGACAGAGAGAGACACAGCGAGAGAGGGAACACAAGCAGGGGCAGTGGGAGAGGGAGAAGCAGACTTCCCGCCGAGCAGGGAGCCCGATGTGGGACTCGATCCCAGGACCCTGGGATCATGACCTGAGCCGAAGGCAGACGCTTAACGACTGAGCCACCCAGGCACCCTGTAGATTGCCTAAATTTCTAATCATGGTCTTACCACTAACTAGTTTATGGCCCTAGAAAATGAAATGCACCTCTCCCCACCTCTCACTTCTCTTATAAGTAAAATGATTTAGTAGCACTGATTCAATGTGGTTAATATACAGATTCAATTAGATTATGCATGTCAAGCTCTTAAAAGAGTGCCTGGCACATAATAAATGCTTATCAAATGTCTGTTGTTGTTGTTGGTGTTGTTGATCTCCCCCACCAATACTCACCCCCGGTACCCAGGATCACAGCTATCACCAGTATTAGCAAGCATAGGATTCCCAAAGTCACAGCAATGGGACGCCAATGAGGAGATGTAGCAGAAGTTACTAGGAAACCAGAGGGAACAGAAATTAAAATGAAGAAATATGACAAATCACAGAGCATTTCAGTTCTACAGTTCATTAAAATCTGGAAAATTCTAAAGTGAACTATTAATCTCCGATATGCAGATAATCTAGTCATCTAGGATTATCTGAATTTTCCCTCACATCTAGCATGCCTCTTTAGGTCCTGGAACTATAATTTCAGCACAGTGCCCTGATATCTGTACACTCCTAATTTCAGGTTCACACTGATGGTCCTGACATTACCAGAGTTTCTGAAATCCCACTCATTTTTATAGAAGACCTACTACTGTAGGGGAAATAGCCCTGGTTACTGAGGACAACCTTCTTTTTTCACTTACTTGTTGCATAGCCTTGGGTGAATTACTCCCTCTGTTTATTCATTTCTCTTTGTGAAAAATTGGGGTAATAATACCTCAGAGGATTATTGTGGAAACTAAATGAGCTAACACATAAAAGCACCTAGTCTAGAGGCTACTAGCACATTATACATACATAACTCACTGTTTACCAACAATTACGTAGAAACATACACCTGCCTCCCTACCTCTTGCATCATCCAGTTTTTCTAGTCCTCCTCAACAGGTTGAGCAAAAAAAGGATTTCATAAGTGGTAAAGGGAAAATAATTGTACAATGTGGATTACCATAAAGCAGAAGAGAGCAAATCTTCATGTCAAAACTTATGAATAATCTTTCTCTTGATAACAGGAAACTCATTTTATGTTAATACCACTGCACCAAGAATATAGTTCTGTCTTTGAGAATAAACATTACAAGCATTTCAGAGAATTGTCAAATAGAACCACAGAGGAAACTACATGACTCATTCTATTAAGGGAGCGAGCATATAATGCCTTTCTCCATATTTTACTCCTTTTCTATTATGTTTAAGACTCATGTTCTGCAAATGGAATCTTTTCATCTAGCACATATATTTTCCTTCACTAGTATACAAAAGACTCCCATTTGGTTAAGAAAAAAAAGTCCAAATCAATGTCTTACCCCAAAGAAACACATCAGATTCATGATTCCAAAACCTATGACATCTGAAGTCCCTTTGGCCTTTACCACAAAATCACAAATTTGTTTTTTCCCTGACCTATCTTCTCTCTCTTATCTCCAATATCCTGATGTTGTTCATACACATTACTTTAAATTTCCATGACTTCCATTCTATGATTTACTCCTTTCTACCAAACAAGCAAGTCACGCCTATTGAAATTCTTACATCTTTGCATTTCATCACACTTCCTTATAGTTCCTTACTGCTGAAGTGTCTATTTCTACAGAACAGAGAAATTGTGTTTTCTTTTTTTCTTTTTAAAGATTTTATTTATTCATGAGAGACAGAAAGAGAGAGAGGCAGAGGGAGAAGCAGGCTCCCTGCTGAGCAAGGAGCCCAATGCGGGACTCAAACCCAGGACCCTGGGATCATGACCTGAGCCAAAGGCAGAAACTTAACCAACTGAGCCACCCAGGCACCTGAGAAATTGTATTTTCTGTCATCTTAATAATTAATTTAAATACTAATAATTAGTTACCAAATGCTTGCAATGAACAAAGATATTTCAAAATATCTTCAGTGACTTCTGAAAATCTTTTAAAAGGTTTTCAGCCTACAAATCATGTCTTTCAAATTTTCTCCACATAAGTGTTTTAGTTGATGAGAACAAGAACATTGAAAGCAAAAAGAAAAGATACCTTTCTCTAAGACCACAGGTCTCCCAGTGATGCCTCGAGAGCGGAAGTCTAATTGAGTATAACCATCTTCATCCAAATTTTCTACCTCAGAACGGGAATCCATTGTTCTACTGAGTTCCTAAGTTGCCACAGCATTTGAGAGCTCTTCCTGCTCTTAAGACAACTGCTTGTGGACAAAAGAGGATGTATGAGTCAAATCATGTGGGGTAGGCATTTACTGAGTTTTAACAAGTTGAGCTTAAGTAGTCCAACCAGATATAGCCAAAGGCAGGAAATGAAAACTATGCTGTAGTAAGTTCCCATTTGTACTTTTAGATCCTATTTCTAAGACCAATGAGTCTTTTTTTTTTTTTTAAAGATTTTATTTATTTATTTGAGAGAGAATGAGAGATAGAGAGCACGAGAGGGAAGAGGGTCAGAGGGAGAAGCAGACTCCCTGCAGAGCAGGGAGTCCGATGTGGGACTCGATCCCGGGACTCCAGGATCATGACCTGAGCCGAAGGCAGTCGCCTAACCAACTGAGCCACCCAGGCGCCCAAGACCGATGAGTCTTAAGAAAATTTTAAGGCAGCACAATAGATAGATCTTTGTTTCAGACCAAATATAAGAAAAATGAAACATGAATTCACACATGCATTCATTTATTCATGTACTTGCTCATTCACTAAACGTTTATCAAATGCCCATCTTTTCAAATGGCAGGAGCTGGGGATATAGGGATAAAAGATATCTGTGAAGAAGCTCACTGCCTTATTAGAGGAAACCTACAGACAGGTGTATGAAGGATGCCACAAGGAGGCACTGTAACGACAAAGAGGAGAAGAAAATTTCTTCAGGATTTGTCAGGGTTTGATAATTCAAAGTAGTAATTATTTATTGAACAATTACTCTGAGCTAGGTATTACCCATTGCACATGTTTTCTCATTCAATCTCAATTTTCCAACAAGTCCATATGGTATATATTTATTTTACTCTTTTAAAGATTTTATTTATTTATTTTTTGAGAGAGAGCATGAGAGATAATAGAGGGAGAAGGAGAAGCAGACTCACCACTGAGCCTGATGTGCGGCTTGATCCCAAGACCCCAAGATCATGACCTGAGCCACCCAGGTGCCCCTTTTTTCATTTTCAAATGAAGAAAATGAGATACAGAAATTTTAGTCCCTTACCCAGTTTTAAGAAGCTAATAAAAATATTGAAGCAAAGACTCAAACTAAAGTGTACTTTTGCTACAAAATGCATGATCTGTTCATACACTTATACTACAAGTACGTAGTCCCCCTTTCTTTGTGGTTTTGCTTTCCATGGTTTCAGTTACCCCCAGGCAACTGCGGTCAGGAAGCAGATGATCCTCCTAATGTATTGTCAGAAAGTCAATAGTAGCCTAACCCTATGTCACAAGGCCTATTTCATGGCTATGGACGTACAGGAAGAAGAAAAAAACAGTATATATGTAAGGTTCAGTACTTTCCACTGGGGATCTTGGAACATATCCCCCAGAGAGAAGAATAAACTAGGGTGACAGCTTATGGAGAATTCTGGGACTGAAATATTATGCAAAATACCCAAATTAATGAGATATGGAAAACACTTATCATTACTGGAAACCAGAAAGGTACCCAACCCACTTAACAAGACTATGAAGCAAGCAAGCAGAATGAAGGAGACATCTGAAACGAAGCCAGACACTCATTAGAGCAGTGAGGACAGCTTTCATTCAGTAATAGAATTACTGTGGAAAAGAGGGACCAGCATGAAGGAACTCAACTTCCCCAAAACAAAATACTAAAGACTTTCTAAAGGTATGCTAAGGGAAAGACACTGAGTGGTATTAAGAGGTATTAAGATTTGTTAGTTGGTGCTTATCTAGGAAAGAAATAAACTTCTCCTATCTTTATGATTGTGGCACCCATACATATTAAAGCAAGATGGTGACCCCGCTGAAGTTAGACCCTTATGCTCCCACAGGGACTGGGGAAGTGAGAATTACCTCTCTTAACTCCCTGAATGTTTGCATTTCAGAGAGATGGCTCTCAGGTTCCTTGAAGAAATAGTTTCAAGTAGTAGACTTACTTTTCAAAAGGTCAGAGAAAGGAATTATAATTGTAAGCTTTCTAAGATAACTGCTCTAAGAGGGGATTTAGAGGTGTGTCTATCACCAAGTTTTGACTAGAATAAACAGTATGTTTTCCTGGAAGCACTAAGTTTTCTCAGGCAGGCATTTCGGGGGGGATTCTAGCCATGCTAGACGATGTCAAGTCTCTTAGTGCAGAAGTTTGGATGGAGATATTATAGCCAAGAGCTCTAGGTTCTTACTAACACATATCAAAATGGAAGGGTTCAATGGAGAGTAAATAGTTGAGTTTCTCCCCCTTACTTAGCCTGCCAAGAAAATTTTGCTAACTTTCTGTAGACGCATTGCAAAGTAGTCATGTGGATCTTAATCTCAATGTCCATCAGCCTCCCAGTTCTATAACACAGTCTTTGGAAAACGGGATTTTTCACAGATTGCATATCTGGTTCAAGGAAGAAAAGCCAGCCTTCTAACAGAACAGTAAGGAGGTGAGCACCTTCCAGGCAATAATAAGCTGGATTTCTACTGTCAATCCAGACCATCCACTGGGAGAATTTCGTGTAATAACTTTTATTTTCTAGGAATCTCTTCCTCTAATCACAATCCTACAAAAACAATTGGCTAAGTTGTCAAAGAGATTTTCAATAAATATAAACTTTAGTCTTCTCTTTTTGTCTGGGATTAAAACAATTTAACAGTGATTACACAAATCCTTGATGAACCAGAAAAAGAAATCTCTCAGTATTTCAGTATTTCAAGGAACAGGAGGGGGTGGGGAGAACAATCCATGTATTCAGAGAAAAATACCCCTGGTTAAACATTAATGTAAGAAGCAGGTGAAAAACAAACCAATCTAATCAAAACAAACAACAACAAAAATAGCAAACAACAATTATCTAATTTACATTTTCAGTGAAATTAAATTTGATGAAAAATTGCATTCATACAGCAAGTTTCTCTTGAAAGATGAAGAATCTGAGAAGAGTTCTTAAAAATGAAAAACACATTTTATAGAGTGAAAATACAATTAGTTGAATCAAGAATAACATTAAATATTACATCAATAAGGCATCACATTCAGAATAGCTGAATTAGCCTGGTCATGTTTTCATTTCTATATATATTTAGCTTGTTGTCAACAGTAGCATTTACTCCCAGAATTAAAGCTCAAAAAATAATATTTTTCCTACACAAATATCTATTTTGTTAGGTTTACTAGAATGAGTGTTAAACCAGAAAAAGGAAACACAGGAGAGCCTGAAGCATATGTTCAGGGTGACTTTTTGGAAAACTTACATAAAGAAGTGAATAAAAATAAATAAATAGGTATAAATAGATGAATAAATGAATTAAATAGAAAACAAGATTATTAAAAACAAATTAGCATTCACTTAAAACTGTAGAAAAAAAAATATTGAGTCTACAGGAGATAGCAACCTTCCAAAATATCTTCCCCATTAATGTTCACAAATTTCCAAAAAATCCTCAAATTTCATCTCTAATTTGAATGCTAACTTGGATCTCCTTCCTCCCTCCCTCCCTCCCCCCTTCTCTACCCTCCTCTATCCATTAAGCAATTAAACATCAATTAAACATGTACCATATTCTCAGAAGCCTGAATACAAAGAAGAATGAGACCCAATCCCCATCCTAATTGGCTTCACATTATATTTGGAGGACAAAAAAAAAAACACACACAGAAAACAAAATCTTAAATTGTTTAAGTACCTCTGGTTTGGGCAGACCAAAAAATTACTTAGCTTTGTTCACAGCACTCTTTCCAGTTTTAATTTTAAGCTTATCACAAATGAGGTAATTGACATGGAATTCTTTCTTAGAGGGCTAACATCTTTTTAAATAAACCAAAGGCCGTCTTTATATCAATAGATTCTTCATAGTTAAAATGTGCCTTCAATCATCTTTTCCGAATCTATTTATGCTCCTGCTACCCTTCTGCTCCAGTAGCTTCATGGTTTCCATTTGCTACATTGTTCACATTTCACATATAACTTCTACTATCCCTTCCACCTTGTGCCTCTTTTCTTCCATTTTAATGGGGGAGAAGTATATATAGTGTATACATCACTCTCCTATGGCATTTGTATTTGAAATTTCCCAATCTCCCCAAGGAAGAGATGAATTTATGTGTCATTTTCTTATTGTTAGATGCTTATAATGGTTTTCCTCACTAATCCTTGAGTTCTTAAGCAGTGATGTACCTAGCATATTTAACACTCAGACTGTTATTTTTGTTTTGTTTTTAATTTTTACTTTCCTTTCCTTTACACAACAAAATAGTTTTCAGTAATGATCATGAAATGGAATGAATGAATAATAAGGGTCAGAAAACAAATGTAGGTAGTGAATATTTTTTGTTGAAAGTTGTATATAAAATAGGGGTGCCTGGTGGCTTTTTCAGTTAGGTGGCCAGCTCTTGGTTTTGGCTCAGGTCATGATCTCTAGGTCATGGGATCGAGCCCCACGTCGGTTCTGTGCTTGCATGAGTCTGCTTGGGATTCTCTGTCTCTCCCTCTCCCTCTGCCCCTCCCCCAGCTCGTGCATGCTCTCTCTCTCAAATAAATAAAATATTTTTTTAAAGTTGTATATAAAATAATGCCAATGAAAATTAAAATGTGTGGATAAAATCTTTTCAATTACATTAATGCCTTTATTTTTTTGGAAAGGGAGTGGAATTTATACCTATATATAGGTATGTCACAGTAATACATAATATTACAATTTGTTTGTGTCCTTTACCTTCTCCAAATTTATCAATGATATTGTCAAATTAATCTTTTTACATGTTTGTGGTAAGTAGACTGTGTTTCCAGACACATCAATTCGTCTTTGCTCAAAATTGATTTAAGACCATTTTTTGTTCATTTTGTTGAGGGAAGAGAAGGCAAGCTGAGGACAAAGCAGAAGCTGACACCCCACAACCCTCCACCCCCCTGGGATTTATGTGACATTCCTCAGGCACTCCTGGCTGCCCTAAAGGAAAAACAAATAGTTAACTTATAGAGATCAC